TAATGTTTAAGTATAAAGTATTTATTTTTGTTTGATGTTTCAGACAATATTTCTATGCACCATTTCATTTAACAAAGTTCTGTCCTTCTTTTACTAATTTTTGTACAGCTGTTAAAAAGAGATCCACTCTGTCACTGTTTCTATCTCTGCCTGAGGAACTTTGTATGAGGCTGCTGTTCATGACTAATATCAAGTTACAACAGCAGGAGTCCTTACACAGAAAATGAACCACCAAATCAATTACTTAAAAAGTATAAAGAAACACACACAAGGAAACCAGTTAAGTTAATTTGTTACATTTCCTGTGGCATATAAACCATAGAAAGCCATTAGTAACTTACATTATTTCAAGGCAAAGCTCTGCAAAGCCTCAAGACCTGATTAATGAAATATTAAAACTTTTACAATTTGCAGAGAAAAGGAAGGGAGATGCCTGGCAAATTGATTTAAAGAAATAATATAATCCCGACTTTCAAACAATATATTTATGATTTCATTAAATTTGGAAAATTTAAAGTTGTAGAAATAACATACAGAAAGTTGAATTTTACAGTTTTTGCCACCATTTACTTCAAAAGTTCACTGTTTTTAAACTATTTGAGCTAATAGTGAGCATTAAAAGTGTATAGATTTCTACCTTTATCTTGTACCTTGAAAAGTTGTATCTGCATTTGTAGGGAATTTAACGATTTCCATCATCCTAATAAAAATTATGACTGGGAGAAAAATTGAAAATTAGTGTTAACACTTTGGCTTTTTTTTTAATTTATTTTATCCAAAACAAATGTTATAATTTTATTTTGTGGGTAATTTTATGGGGGGGAGGGAGAATGTACAGAATTTTTCAAAACTTGATGTTGTTCCTTTTTCCCCCTATAAAAACATGGGACAACCAGGGTGGTAGTTAAAGCATACAAGGTCGGATTTGAAAAGCCGTGTACAATGTACACATAGTGTAATATTTTATGGATAGTATAGCTAAATGATGGAAAAGATTAAATGGAGAGTGAAAATTAATCTTGTGCTCCACAAACCTTATTTTCCACTAAACAAAATTAGCTTGAACAGTTTCTGTCTAATCATTTTACTGCATCATAATTCATAATTAGCTGCATAATGAGGCCTTATATTCAGGTAGCATTGAACAAGCTGTTTTTTTTTTCAACAAGACACACAGAATGGTTCTTAACCACAGTATTGCTTTCAAACAAATGGCCATTTAAATAAGGGAATAAATTGTGATGCAGTACTAGCTCGTTCATAATTGCTAACTCTTTAGTTCTGTCTCATTTACTTTGAATGATCATTCCATTGCTTTGTTGAGTGTGCAGCCTTAAAAGTGTCTTCTAAAACATTGATTTTTCTGTTGATGTTCTGATGGAACAACTAATTCACCTCTATTTTTCAACCATATGGTGAACAATTATGTGGCTGCAATTCAGATTTACTCACCAATCCTGACTTGCAAACATCACATTTCAATGTCACCATAATTTTTTTAATATCAAATCCAGAAATATAGGTAGCAACATTTTTACTGTACCCTGAATAGAACACGTGTGACCTAGGTTATGGCTCATAGACAGGCTCTGTTGCACAAGTTTCAGATCTTATATTTGCAGTGTAAGCTCTTTTCATTTTGCCAAAGACATATCCAGTATACATGTTTAATCTAGTGACACTATATTGCCATTCTGACTTGGCTGCACACCACATTTACTTAAAAACTTGTGATAGACGCCTTTTAAAAGCAACACTGTATGGATTGTTGTTGGTTCCACAGGCTTGTCTAAACAACACTGAAAAATATTCTAAATGATCTTAACTGAATTTGAAGGTTAATACATCCAAAGGTACTTTGATATTTAAAATCAAAAGATATTTACAGAAATGTTAAGCTTTCTCTGTTGACTAAGAATCCCCACTTATGTCTACTTTGAACTATTCACTGTCCTCTTTCATAGATGAGTGATAACAACAGTTTTATATTAATCATAAATAGAACAATAAGACCATACATTTCCACAGACAGTGTAGCTTTATACCTCTTTTCTAAACTACTTCTGCTGTTGAAAATTTCAAACATGTTTTTCAACCTCCAAAAAAGTAAGAATTGTTTTTGCACACCCCTGAAACTGTGTTCAATTAAGTGATTTTACAAATTCTAAACCACAAGCTACAAACTTAACTGAGAAATTGTGCTACACCCTCATCTTGTGATTATCAAATTCTATATGTGTATGGTTTAACTTGTTTCCTGCATACGACACTTATTTTTCCTGTGACGACACCTGATTAACAGTGTACTGCCAGTTGAAACTTTGTAACTTTGCA